GCCATCATCCCCACCCCCCACCCCTTCGAGCGTCAGAGGGTTACATGTTGATATGAATTCAAAACATTTGCTGATCCTTTGTAAAAAGGATCGAGTGATGAAATACCCATTCTCGTAGTCGTAAATAATTCACCAACGTGAAACTGACAAAGGAAATCGTAATTGGCGTCCATTGAATATCTGATCTTAATTAGCACAAATTTTAAAATGTTTCTTCTTCGATCGTTTTTTCCTTATTTTTAGTTATGATTGAGAAGGTAAAGAATACAATCGAGACCGTTTTTTTGCCACATTCCATAGTTAGTCAAATATACTCCACTGATCGTTGTATCTTGAGCTCTCTTCTCGGTGTTTGAAAATGCAGGAAAATAGAGGGAGTTTTTCGTGTTTAATTGAGAATTCCTAGTTTTCTGCGTTTATCCCGATGAAAATGAAACGTATTTGCAAGGATCTTACTTATTCTACCAATTTTTATGTATTCCTACCTTCCTCGGGATTTTCGCTCTCAATTTGTTTCGTGTCAATGTTCAAGATGGAGCTATCAGAGGTCAGCGATCGAAACACCATGTTACACCTCTGTTTGTCAAAAGGAAAGAACTGTACGTCGAGGGTGCAGGTACTCTTGAAAGTTGCAGGGGACAGCCACGTATTATTTCCGTCGCTCTTCAGTAGCACCCAACTTCGGAATTTTTCCAAGTGGCCTGCTTGAACAACCTCATCATCGGCACTAAAAGTAAATAGAAAAGGATAATTAAATTGCATGGGCGGTCTGGGTATCAGCACTGCGAGATAAATACAGAGACGAAAATGTGGCGTGTTCTATTGAAGATCCACGAATCTCCCTAATTGGCTATCCATTGGTGTTCATTCGCTAAGAGATTTAGACACAGTCACGTACGCGTTGCTCTTGAAAGGGAAATTATCTTCGATTTGTGACTGTAAAATACACAATACTTTAGGTTTTGCAGTGGATCCTTCTGCTAAATTATTTACACGTCTTGCCCGCTTTTACATTCGCTGATGGAAAACGTAGATTTCTAGTCTAATTGCTAATTGAACATTTTAGTTTGGGACCGCTGTGTATTTTTTTACAAGTCGTGCTGTAGTTTCAAGGAACGTTAGTGGAATCATTGTAAGAATGAAATTTAGCCAATATAAATGAAGTTGTCTCGTGTTGAAGTTTTTCCACATTGAAGTCAGACTTGTCTATCGTTCGAGCATGATTTCGTAAAAAGGGTTCAGCTTCTTCTCATCAGCTGAAATGTCTGCTAAAGCACACTGACTTACTTGTTTTCCAGCACTATATCTGGAACCCATATTTCATTTGGATCCACAAGAATCTTTTGTATTCCGTCATAATCAGCAGGATTCCACCGGAGGTACGGGTTATTCAACTTCTTTAAAACAGTAGAAAAAAGAAGCATATAAGTCCGTTTTTTATTTTATGTTCAGCATCTATTTTGTCCTCCTAAAAGATGCCACGTTTTAAACTATGCAATTGCAAGTTTAGTTTCTCTTTGTTGGTTAGGTTATCTTACCTGCGTGATGATCGTTTCCGTGGTGATAACTTGATCTTTGTTGTTCTGAGAAATAAGCAAATTTTTTCCTATTAACTCTGCCGGCAGCAGTAACATTTCAAGTCAGCAATGGAAATTGGCTTTCGAATCAGATTAAAAATGATTCATAAAGATGTACAGGAATGCCGAGAGAATGGGACTAAAACCTCAGGCACTTGCGCATGCAGACTCTTGACTCGATTCGTCTTGGTATAATTGCACCACACCTTA